ATCATATCATACTGCCTCCAACCTTTTTTCTAATCCCATTTTCTTCTTCTACTTTTTCGCTGTAATGCCTCATTCAGACAACCCATAGAGTTGTCTTTTCCTCGTTCTTCAGTTCCCAAGGCCCTGATCCTGCACAGAGAAGGAAGCAGACTATTTCTCGGGTCAGAATTAGGATCCTGTACACAGTTTAAAGGACACAGCACAGGATTAGCTGTCAAAGGGTGAATTATAAATCTTTACTTCCCCAAATTGCTAATGAGTAGAGCTGGTTGAAATTTTATTGCCAGGATTTTTTTCATTGGGAAAAAAAAGGTTCTTTTACCTTTTAACTTTTTTTTCCAGTGGGGAAAGGAGATGTGGGGGGCACAAACAGAAGAAAACTGTATTTTAAAGAGGGAGAAAAACTTGGATTTTTTCCCTACGAAAATAAGAGAAAAATCTTGAAAAGATCTCCAATATATTTTTGAGAAAAAATATACATTGTGAAAAAGTAAAAAAGCAATGAAAAATCTTTTGCTATATATACAGACATATTATAGGTACAGATTTGGCTAACATGCCCGAGAAAATTGGTCAATATAACCATTTGGGGTTTTCAGAATCAAATCATACAAACACAATAGAAAATAATATTCAATGACTGCCTGGGGATGATGCCTTTGTTTAGATTAATAAGGCTTTCATCTGTCTGTTGGTGATCAACTCCTGTATCGTTACCATGACAAAGGAAAAATTATCCAAAGGCAGGAAACAATACAAATTGGACAATTCATTACATGCCAGCTCACCAAGTAAATCTATAATAGACATCCCTTGTTACTTATTTTGCAGTGAATTATATTAGACCCAGGATCTGACTAACTTTCCCACTAACTGTCCAATATAAACGCCTACATTTATGACAGACAATGAAGACCATATGTGTGGGGAACTTGAAAAGCATGATGAAACAATTGCACATAAGTACAGTTCTATAATCTGAGTTTACAAAAGTAATTTATTCAGTTTTAAAATGACTTTACGACTGTCTTGACTGAAACTTGTTACAAAACAAAGACACATCAATGAAGTTCATAATAATCTTCACAGCATACACACCAGCCCTAACATTTTCTCACCTATTAGGTGCTCAGTTTCAGGAAGTGGTCAATTGGCTGATATGTCATCACCTCAGAGGAAGTCTGTGTGTTATTAATCACAAGATCTTGTTCATCCATCAGCTTTCAGCTCAGTTATTGAGAGCAGGAGTTGGTATGGTAAAAACAGGTGTAGGACAGACACAACTCTAGTCTATTATCAGTGTGCTAATGGGCAACCCAAACTGCTGGGGGCGGGGGAAGAGACCACTGAAGGTTCCTATCCAAGATAAATGGTGTCAATAGGAGGACTCAAGCATGGCTAGCCCAGGACCGCTGTCTTTTCTCTTTCAGGTGTCTTCCGCTTTGAGAAAGCAAAACGTTGATGGAGATGCATCATTTTATTCTATTTCCGGATGATCCAACTTGGTCCCTCTCCTTGAAGGTGTTGACTTGGACGATCAGATGGCTAAGCATACTTCTACTGAAGATTCATAAGGTCCCACCAAAAGAATTGTCCTCTCTCACCATCCAATCCAGGAACAAAACATCCATTTTTGAGTTCTTGTATGTTATACAGTACTTGCACAATTTGCAGTTTCTCCATTCTCTCGTTGCTGGCTGCTGAAATGTCCAGTTTAAAGTTCATATAATTTATACAAAGTTACTCCCTATTCTTCAATGTTTGTACACTTGTTTTGACAGTCCATTATTCAATGCAAAGTGCCCTGTGGTGGTCCAGCAAACTAGAACAGCTGAAGCAGTTCTCTTTGTTTTAATAGCAATGCTGGGACCTTCGGGTGTGTGGCTCGTAGAATTACTGCTTTTGGCCACACGTATGCCTAGAGGATTCGTCACATGATGTAATCTTTAATTAAAGATTAATATTTAATTCCTAAAGACTCCAGGAACATCCTGGCGGGTTGGCAACCCTGGCTTGGCTGAGTCTGTGCATTATTAATGAAACAATGACATTTCTAGTTATTTTACTCTGTGATAAAATGTTCTCATAAACACACTATTTGGTTCCAGTTTCTTTTATTTAGTGCTTCATTCAGCACAGGTGTATTTCACTAACTTGACAGCACAAGCAGGCTTGACTGCTAACATTAGCATGACTTCTCTATGTCATCGCTTACGCTAAAAGAACTCAAGCTGAATGCAACCCCTTTCCTTCATAACGGGACTATTCTGAAGGAAAACCCTGTCTTCAGAGTTGATATATTTTTGCCCCAACTTCCCTTTTGTGTGCATTTTAATTGTGTTAGGTTCCATCAAGTTCCCGATTTTACTACTGTATCTGGCACTTGATATAACATCAATGTTTGATGTAAATTTATCAGGACTTTTAATTCATTCATATTTTCGCAGCCAGAAACAAAGGGGAAGTCTCTTTAGCTGCAGCAGCGGTGTCCTCTTGCAAAAGGCTGACACAACTCTGAGCTTCTGTTTGCCAAAATCGAGCCCTTGGACATAGGATTTTTTATTCTTGTAGCCTTGCAGTCGACCTTTTCTACAAGGCCTTAATGCATAGGCAATTCTGAAACAGTAATAACTGACCATTTCGGAGCCTTGGTTACTACACAATATAACACTATAGTCGAGAAATTCAATGTGCGCAGACAGACCAGCATTTAAAAAGAGAGGTTTCGATTTGGCACTGTTTTCTACTTCCTGGCAAGGGCTTCATCTAGAAGGGGGGCACACAGAGTTCAGTGGGAACTACAGGCATACAGCTGTTATCGGGGTCCGGCCTTTGCAGCAGCTGTTAATCTACATAAGAACATAGCTTAAGAATGGCCCTATAAGTCAAACCAAAAGTCCATCTATCCCAGTAGCTTTCCATCAGTGGCCAATGCTAGATGCCCCAGAGGAAGTGAACAGAACAAGGAATAATCAAGTGATCCCTCTCCTGGTACCCATTTCCAGCCTCTGACAAACAGAGGCTACCCATCTTGGCTAACGGCCATTCATGGACCTAACCTCTATGAATTTATCTAGTTCTTTTTTGAACCTGGTTAAAGTCCTGGTCTTTACAACATCCTCTGGCAAGGAGTTCCACAGGTTAGCTATGTGTTTTGTGAAGAAATACTTCCTTTTGTTTGTTTTAAACCTGCTACCTGCTTTATTTGGCTCTGGTGAGACCACATCTACAGTATTGTGTCCAGTTCTGGGTCCCCCACTATAGAAAGGATGTGAACGCATTGGAGAGGCGCCAGTGGAGAGCACCCAAAATGATTAGGGGGATGGAGCATATGACCAATGAGGAAAGGCTGAGGGATTTGGGCTTGTTTAGTCTGCAGAAGCAAAAAGTGAGGGGGGATTTGATAGCAGCCTTCAACTTCCTGAAGGGGGGTTCCAAAGAGGCTGGAGAGAGGCTGTTCTCAGTGGTGACAGATGGCAGAACAAGGAGCAATGGGCTCAAGTTGCAGTGGGGGAGGTCTAGGTTAGATATTAGGAAAAACTATTTCACTAGGAGAGTGGGGAATCACTGGGCTGGGTTCCCTAGGGAGGGGGTGGAATCTCCAGTCCTAGAGGTTTTTAAGTCCCAGCTTGACAAAGCCCTGGCTGGGTTGATTTAGTTGGGATTGGTCCTGCTTTGGGCAGGGGGCTGGACTGGATGACCTCCTGAGGTCTCTTCCGGCTCTATGGTTCTATGATACCTATTAATTTCATTTGGTGACCCCTACTTATATTATGGGAAGAAGTAAATAACTTCTCTTTATTCACTTTCTCCACATCCATCATGATTTTATAGACCTCTATCCTATCCCCCCTTAGTTTCCTCTTTTCGAAGATGAAAAGTCCCAGACTTTTTAATCTCTCACTATTTAATCCGCAGTCTTTTTTCTCCTTTCCTCCTGTCTATCATCTCTAAATCCTGCCTGGATACATGCAGTGGGAGGGAGGGTGGCAGCAGTCTTGTTTGCATCCAAGGCTCAGGCACTAGGGCGGTCCCATTATTTAGGGATGTGCCGACAAGTGATGCCAATGAAGGGAGGAAGGATGGGCACCCAGGATATACTGTCCCAAACGGAGATGCAGCATGTGCAATTCCTTCTCTATTCCAGATCATCTGGAGAGAGATTGTGGCTCGTGAGCATACCCTGGATCGCCTCGTGGGACAATTCCTCCTCTCCCTCACGTGGGACTGTGTTTAAGTCAGACCCTCCAGCCTATTATATTTCCAGCTAATTATTTTGGGGCTATTGGGTTGGATCCTAATCTGCTCCTACTGAGGTTCATCACTAAATAGCTGCTGGTCCAGGGCTGGACCCCAAACCTCTTGTTTTCAATTGACAGCCTGCTATCAATGCTCCGATAAATGAAGACCCCCTAAGGCAATGGGTGTCGCAGAGACTCTCCCCTTCTCCTCTCCCAGCCCAGCCAGTGACAAGAGGTGCCAGGTGCTTTGCTCTGAAAAGAAACTCTCCAACACGGAACCCGACACGATGTTTTTCTGACCTGCACAGAAGTTTGGTTTCACCTGAGAAACAGGCAGGTCTTGTCTGGGGCCCGATCCTGCGAGTGGCAGCTTGAACATCTTCGCATGGGCACAACTCCCAGCCAGGTTAGGAATGGTTCAGCACTTCTCAGGATCGGGCCCGTTCTCAGAGTCATGTTCACTGTCCCTAACCAATCTGAGGACACCTGCCCCCTCCCACCCTCCCGAGGCTGCCAGCTGTTACTATCCTCAATGAAATGTGTGTGCCCAGCCACTGCGAGTTCAGTGTTTTATTTCTGTGCTGCTCTCTCTCATCTCTCACTTTCACTCCCATTGGTTTCATGTTCCCTTTTGCTGGGTGGAAAAGCTTTTCATCTGATCCAGCCTAATTTATCCTGGTTCCACCCCCTGGGACTTTCCTAACTTCCTCCTGTAAAGGGAGGGAAAAACAGACCCAAGCATAGTACGTGCACCTCTCTGATCTCAGCAAAAGCGGTGCTGTCTCCCTGAACTGGGTTTCTGCTGTAGGCGGTGCATTCCTTGGGAGGGAGGGTACATGTGTGTGGGGGGGGAGCCTTCCCACACTAAAGTGAGCCCTTATTTAATGGGGGTCCCAATGCAGGACAGCAAGCAGAAGAGGTTTTCCTCTCCCCGGGTTCCATTCAGAGACAGAGGTGCATAAGCCAGTGACAGGCATGAAACACTTTGCTGAAATATCCCTGGAGGAAGCAATTCCTATGACCAATCAAGACTCCGGAATGGGTGTCAGGGAGGATCTGAAGAAAATACGCTGCGCTGTGGTTTTTTGCTTGCTGTCGGTCCTAGTCCTGGCGTTACCCACAGCCTATCTGCTGATTGGAAATCTCACAGCTCATAAACCTGGCCCCGCGCAGGTAAGCAAATGCCATTTCTCAATCCGGGAAGGTTAAGCAAAAGAGATTTGTAACTATTTGGGTTTGGAGACAGAGTTGGTAGCTTGGTGGATTTGCAATGTAAAGGAGTGTTAAACTTTTCCTCTCTTTATTACTCGGAGGAAGGAGGAGGAAATGCGTTTAACAGGCAGATGTCTCTCCATTCTCTTCCTTGATTTTACTAGGGTCAGAGGAGCAGGAACAATGTTAGATCTAATGGGCAAACTGCAAACAACTCTGGTGGTTTGGAGACAGAGTTGGTAGCTTGGTGGATTTGCAATGTAAAGGAGTGTTAAACTTTTCCTCTCTTTATTACTCGGAGGAAGGAGGAGGAAATGCGTTTAACAGGCAGATGTCTCTCCATTCTCTTCCTTGATTTTACTAGGGTCAGAGGAGCAGGAACAATGTTAGATCTAATGGGCAAACTGCAAACAACTCTGGTCCGG